TGGCTTCCTCTTGATTTGGTGGGGTGAGCCAGTCGGTCACCTGACGTCAGCCACGGGCATGGGCACACGAGGTGCTCTTGAGTGTGCACACGTCCCGGCCTTCTCCCGCCGGGTGAGCTGGAGGTAAGTCGGCAAGTCCCAAGGGAAAAGCATATTAAACGCGGGCTTCTCTCATGTGGCAATACGGCAGAAACATGTGGCCGATCCCTTCCCAAAGCACTGTGAACTGCTCACTGTCCAGCAATTTGTATGTTTTAGGTATGAGTTCCTTACACATTTTGGATACAAATGCCATGTAAGATGTATGATTTTAAAAAAGAAATCCAGACTAGACTGTTCTCCATACAGCAGTTGTCACTTTACTCTGTGATTTCCTCCTCCTCCTCTTCCTCCTCTGCCATCTCTTCCTCCTTCTTCCTCTTCTTTTTTTGAGACAGGGTCTTGTTATGCAGTTCAGGCTGGCCTTGATCTCACTCTGTAGCCCAGGCTGCTCTTGAACTCGCGACAACCCTCCTGTCTCAGCCTCCTGGTGTGCATTGCCACATCTGCCTTTTATTTTTTGCCACTTTCCCTTCTTGTACACCACTTTACTTTGATGCAATCCTATCTTTCTATTTTTTGCATTTGTTGTCTGTGCTTTTGAGTTTTGAGGTCAAGTCCAGAACATCCTTGCCTACAATAGTTTCAGGAAGCATGCGATCCATGACACAACAGCCGAGAGAGAGACAGGAGTAAGAGGGGGCGCCCTCCTCCGGGCTTAGGTGGCCCAGAGAGTGGTCATGTCTTGCTTTTCAAGACCTCCATTCCTCGCATGCCTCAGCTATTCAGAAAGTGCCTTCCTGCCCCGTCTCTGGGAGTGAGGGAGCCAAACGGTCGTGAAGCACACTCACTCTGGGCCTAGCGGCTGAGACCAGCTAGCTGGGCATTCTGTGTCCTGCCGGGAAGGCCCAAGCTCAGAGCACTGTTTTATTGGAAATGAATGATTTCAGAGTACCCTGGTGAGGACCACTGGGCAGGGAGCAATTCCTGGTGCTTTGGGAAGGGATCGCCAGATGTTTCGGCCGTGTCTCCACATGAGAGAAGCCCACGTTTAATAGGCTTTTCCCTTGGGACTTGCCGACTTACCTCCAGCCCAACCGGCGGGAGAAGGCCCAGACGTGTGCACACTCAAGAGCACCTCGTGTGTCCATGCCCGTGGCTGACGTCAGGTGACCGACTGGCTCACCCCACCAAAATCAAGAGGAAGCCAGCCCCTTGCTGTGCTGGGCAGGCAGTCTGCTAATGTCTTTGATCAAGCATTCCACTGGCAGGCTGACGGCCCAGGGAAGACTGTCCTGTTTCGTTCAGGGCCTGTGCCTTGGTCTCCTTTCTAATGCTTCTGTGCTAGGAGAGCCTACCACCCAGCGAGAGGAGCAGCAGAGGGGACAGAGCTGGCTCCGCCGGAGCTGCTGGGTTAGTCTCCTAGCTGGTGTCGCCTCTGCCGCAAAGTTCTTGCCTTGTAGCAGGATGGGAGGACTTTCAGTGCTTGAGCTGTAGGAAGAGCACAGAGAGAGGCAGAGAAACGCATCCCAGATCCAGCAGGCGACAGGCCAGATCCACCCTGCGTCCTAGTCTGGGATGAAGCATTTTCAAAATGATTGGCACGTGCACATGCAGAGCGAGGACAAGCCGAGCCAGGAGCGAGAGCGCGGAGGGGTGGACTGTTACTCTGTTTCAGTCACCCGCCAGATTCCCGTAGGCTCAGGTGGCTAGCAGAAGTGCCTCACGCTTGCGCAGTGCGGCCTGCGAAGCTGTCAGAGTGATTCGCCCGTCGTCGTGCGTCGCAGGTGTTGTCTCATAGCAGAGCTGGTGGGAGACTCAGCTGTGTGACCCCCGAAGGAGTGACTTTAGGCCATGAAGCGTTAGTAAAGCTGGAGTGTTTAGTTCAAGGTGTTTTTCTTTTCTCTGTAACACTGTTGCCTTCAATAGGTAACAGGTCCTGCCCAGTGCTGTCAGTCTGTCCTCCCTTGTGGTGGTTCCGTCCTAGTTCTGATGTGTCTTCGCTGAGCTCGGGATGTGTTTGCACCCCTCACTCAGAACGTGTCCAGCAGAGTTTCTGCTCTCCGCCTACTCCAGCCCCAATCTGCTCCTCCTTCCACCACGTTCCTGAGCTGGCGGCACCTCCACAGCTCCAGGTGCTCAGCCCGACAGCAGGCCATGCTGGGTTCCTGTCTGCACTCACCCGCATTCCCCGCCAGCTCTGCCTTCAAGTCTATGCCAGATCCCACCTCTCAGCAGCAAGCGGGTGCCCTCTTGCTCTCCTCCCTCGCCCCTACCTGGATATCTAGGTTCTTCTCTCTTCCCTCCCTCTTGGCATCTGCCCTTAGCATCCCAACATGCTACTGGGCTGGCAGATTTTGTGACAGGAACTCGAGGGTCTTGGCATCTCCTCCTTCAGCTGTCCCTCTCACCTGCCAATTCTGGGCAGATCTCTGCTCAGCCTTGCGTGCTTATCACTAAAGGGGCATTGGTGAGACAGGCTTATTGCCCCCAAGTGCAGCCAGTCTAGCTCATCCTCCTTCAAGACTGAAGACTTGCAATAGCTGTGCAGCCGTCGAATTGCTAGCCCTTAGCGTCCGGTTCTAGACCACCCGGCATGCTGCCTGGGAGTCTCCAGCTATTGTCTTGAACATGCAGCCTCCTTGGACTTCAGGAAAAGCAGAGCCTCACAGAACAGCCCATGAGAAAGTCTCTCCCGGCTGAGAGCTATGACCCCATGACAGAAACTGAGTGCCCTGTGGATCAGGAGAACCCAGGAACTGTACACGGAACAATAGTCTGCCACGAGGGAGGGTAAACCTGAGTCATCTGTAGGAAAGTGAGTGCACCCTGGGACTATCATGCCAATGAGGCAAAGCAGACACAGAAGGTTAGACACCACACGGTCTCTCTTACATCAGAGACTTAAAGCCTAGATAATTTAGGAGCAAAGTAAAAGATGACAGGAAAGAGAGATGGAACATCTGGTGTGTGGGACAAGACAGGAGGGAAGGGGGAAAAGAAAGAAATCAAGGTGCTTGAGATGGCATTTAAAGAATGAAGCTGAGGCTGCCCATCCAAGGCAGGAGGAATCGCTCAGGATGGGAACTGAACTGTTCTCTTGAGCCACGGCAGCTCTCCTAGGACCTCATAGCCGTCACCCCACCCATGACCTGGCCAGGATGGCCTGTGGCTGCTCCCTCTGCCAACTCCCAACCTGTGCCCTGTTGTGTCAGGCAGGGGTCTGGGAGGCTGGGGTCCTCCTGTGAAGACTCCTTGCTTCCTTGGTTCATCTCTTCACCCTGGTAGGCCTGGGAGAGGCGAAGTGAGGCTGACTCAGAACCAAAAGTCTCTCCAGCACGGAGTGAGGAACTCAGAAGACAAAAGCGGAGCACAGCAGAGTTTTACTGATCAGATGGCAAAGGTGGGGAGAACTGTCACCCAGCAAACCAGCTGTGTGGCAGGGAGCAGCCCAAGGGGAGCGTCTCAGCATGGTATCTTTGCCTTGACATCCCTCCAGGGTTATGATGATTTTTTAAAAAGAGCTATTTCACTGATTGGTAAAATCAGGGTCCTTGCTTTTGTTTCTGGAAAGGGGACAAGGCTCGTTAGGGGTTTCTTAAGAAAGAGCAACATTCTGGGGATTGAACTCAGGCCCTTGCGCTTGCCAGGGAAGTGCTTATTCCACTGAGCCATCTCCCTGGCCCTCGACATTCCTAGAAGGCCACAGCAGGGTACATTTTCTCCAGTGCAGGTGCATGGAGAAGCATGTGATGCTTTCGCAGTCAGCCACAGACACACGCGTGATGACGTCTGACGCAGATGGACGTGCAGTGACTCCACCGTCGCCAGCCATCTAGGCCTTGTCCTGGGTCCCTGTCTACCGGTTCCCTACACCCCTGCTGCCCTTCTTGGCAAAGCCCCGTCAGCTCCCTGGAGACAGACCTTGGGTCTTTTGCTGCGCTTCCCGGGTGGCCGTGGGGACCAGGCGCTTCTGCCCTTCAGCACTGCTCATCTTCGCGGCGGGCACTGAGGTGGCTGAGCCTTGCCTGCACTCCGGTGAGTTTCAGTGGGATGCAGCCCTTAGGAAGCAGCGGTCCTTAAGGGGCAGCAGGGGTACAAGAGTTTGCCCCTGCAGGGGACACAATCTTTTTTGTTGTTATAACAGCACAGAGACCACAGGGACAGAGGACACTCAAACTCCTGGACCCTTAACTGGTATTACTTAAAGGCACGATTTGTGTTGTTTTCTGTGTTTTAGTAGGTAGAAGCCAGGTATGCTCAACTTTCTGCAGTTACGGCATTTGTAACAAGTAGAAGTACAGGTCCTGGAAGGATAGCAAGATGAGATAATGGAACTCCTAGTTACCTGAAATTCAAATTTAACTGTATTTACCTGGCGATCCTACCTACAGCGCAGATCAGGCAAAGCACTGGGTGTGCAGGTTGCGAATCGCTGCCAAGCAGCGCCGCGCCGGCACCACCACGCTCTCAGAGCTCCTAAGCGCAGACTCGGACCTGTCCTTAGGTTGTAACGTTTTCTCTCTTCTTTCATTCTCTTCTTTTTTTTCCTTTCCTTTTGTTCCTGCTGCTGGGGCTTGAGCCCAGGGCCTCGCCGCGTTGGGCAAGCGCTCTACCACTGAGTCACACCCCTGCGCCCCCCAGCCCCGTTTCTGATTCAGGAGCTCTGGGGTGATTCCTGGGATTTCCATTTCACTCGGTTTCCGGGGTGACTGCTGCTGCCAGCTTCAGGCCACACACGAGAACTGCGTCCCAGAGCGGCCAGCAGGGGGCGTTCGGCACCCGCCACCGCTCCAGCTTGGGGACTCCTCCCGGGGGAGCGTTGGTTCTCCGGGCAGGGGCACTTCCGCGTCCGGACCATTCCGGGTTCCTCTAGGCACCTCGGAGGTCCTGAAGTCTCCATGGTGGGCCGGGATGGGGGCGTGGCCTGGAGGGGGCGTGGCAAGGAAGGCGGGCCCAGGCCCTGCGAGCCTTCTCTTGCCGGACGTTGCGAGGCCGCTACGCCTCTGGCGAGAGCTGGGTCCGGGCTCCGGCTGGGCGCGGCCACTAGTGGAGTCTGGCGCAGCCCCGCTGGGGTCAGGTCCGGCCTGTTCTGGTGTGCGTCACCTAGCCTGTGCCGCAGGAAAGGCTCCGTCTGGCAAGGGGCCTTCGAGTTGCGTTTTCTGAACGGTGCCCGAAGCCTTTACCCTCAGTGTTGCATGCGGACGGTAGGTGGACGGGCCCGGGCACGGGACAATAGGTGGCGAGGCACCCAGATTTCAAGGCCGTGTGGGGGCGCTGCGGCCTCGGGCCTGGGGGCGTGGCCAAGTGGGTGGTGCCTGGCGGGGCCAGGGGCTGGGCGGGGCTGAAGGGGGCCGCGCCATAGGCGGTGTGGGCGGGGCTGCGGCGGTGTGGGCGGGGCTGTGACTGTGTGGGCGGGGCCGCGGCGGTGTGGGCGGGGCTGCGGCGGTGTGGGCGTGGCACCTCCCGCTGGACCTAAGGTTTTACAGCCTCTTTGTTTTCCTTCTTCCCACCTTGGACTGGGCGGTACCCGCTAGGGAGCGGCCCAGGCCTCTCAGGGTCCTCAACAGCCCTTTCACACCTGGCTTAGGGGAAGGCATTACAACCACAAACTATTTTGAAAAATAATTTTCCATTTTGAAATATTTTCAGAATTTGAACGAAGTGGCGAGTAGCACCGAAGGCACCCACGGTACACGCTGCGGCCAGACTCCCTGGGGCAGAGCGTCGACTCCTCCTTTAGCCCTGAGGCCGCGAACCAGGGCGGAGGCTGCACCTGCGCTGGGGCGCCGCAGTCCTCTGCAGACCTGGGAGGCCCAGCAGCCCTGGGGCTCAGGTCGGTGCTGGGGTGCTGGCTGGGGCCTGGCTGCGCCCTGCCCTCTCCTCCAGGCCCGGCCCTGCTCAGCCTCCTCCCCAGGTCTCTTGGGCCCTAGCCGTGCACAGGTCCTCGGAAGCCTCGTCCTGACGCTGAAGCAGTTCTGGCTCCTTGCGTAGACTCCTGGCTCCCCGTGAATGGCACTGTGTGGGACTGAGCTCCCGGGGGTGACCCGTGGGCCTCTTGACCCTCTGAGGTGGCCATCCCGACTTGTCTCCTTTACTTTTTCTTCTTTTGAGCATTAACCTACATCCAGCCACTTTATTATTTTGTAGTTTGAGACGGGTTTTCTCTAAGGCCTGCAATTGCACAGGTCAGTCTTGAACTGTGATCCTGCTGCCATGGCTGCCCTTGAGGGCTCTGCTCACAAGCGTGCTCCATCCCACCAGGCTTGGCTTTTTGTTTCATTTCCCTTCCAGCCCCAGGTGGCATCATCCAGGGCATGTCCTGTCCTTGTCCCTGTCCCTGTCCCTGTCATGGTGTCTTCACTGTTTTGTGCACTGCAGTTGGAATAAGCGTGTTGTAAGTGCAGACCTGGTGGTGCTCTGCCTGCAGCCATCAGGCTAGCCTGCACCAGGTGTCTTGTTACAGTGACGGAAAAGAGCAAATGCAAATGATGTGCAGATCAGTCGCCTCCTTGCCCTCTTCTCTCCTGGTAAAGACTTATCTTCCCTTTACCCTGGCTACTGCCTCACCCCATTTTCCTCCTGACGGGTGACAAGCATCAGTGTGTCGCTGGTCTGTCCCTGACAGGGAGAAGGAGGACTCTAGGGGCCACCTTCCCACAATGTGCTCAAGGCCTAGGTCTCTGCAGTGAGGGTTGGGGATGGGGACAGGTGACGCCTGCCTGGGAAGGGTCACTGGAGATGGAGAACAGGGGAGACCTGAGATGTCTTCTGTTACAGCCGATTAGGGAGCAGAGCAGGGACATAGGGAAGAGGGATTGAGGTTTCCTTTCAGCCTTTTAGGAGACACTGGAGTCTCATCTGCTTTCCTGAGCAGTCCTGGGAGGATGGTGGATAGGGCTGATGATGCGTGGGTCTCCCGGTGAGTGGGAGTTGGGGCTTCCCGGTGAGTGCATGCTGTATTTACCCAGCAGGCAGAGAGTGACTGGCCTGGAGCAGACACTGCCAAGGGACTGGCCTGGGGCGGGCACTCTGAGTGACTGCAGCAGGGACCTGGAGTTGTGGTGCCCATAGGCAGTGAGACAGCTAAGCTGCAGGCTGGGAGGGGCTCTGCGGGGAAGCGAGACTGGCTAGGACTGTGCGTGTATCCACTGGGGCTCAGGTGGTGAGGACATGTAGTGGACTGCTGTGGACACTTGTCTTGGTGTTCAGCCACTTGTCGTGAGTCTTGTACTGTCTGCATCTTCCCATACAGTGTCTGGCCACTGGATAGGACGCCTGGCAAGGCTGATGGCTGCACACAGGTTGTAGTATGCTGGTGCTGTAATTCCCCAGAGCGGCCTAGGGTGCTAGATAGTGGGCTTGCTCTTTTGGAACTTGTGGGATGTTTGCTGTACTACTTACTGGTAGAAAAGACAGCTTACGTTGGAGGAAATCTGAGTTGGGTTCTGAGCCCAAGTAGTTACAGATGACTTTGGTAGGATAGCTAGAAACCCTGCAGTAGAGACCTGCATAGGGCAGGACCTTTGTACCCCATCTGCTCTTTTCCCAGGGGGACACTGAGCTCTGTCCCTGCCCTGGTTTGTACCGCCTGCCTGTGCTCACCATGCTGGTCAGGGATAGCAGTGAGGCAGGGCAGGTCTCAGGACGAGTGGCCAGGAGGGAGTTGAGCAGTGGGCAGCGGGGCTGAGCTCTCCTTGCCAGTGCAGATGACCCAGGCCAGACACAGGGAATGCACAGGACGCTTAGTGTCCAAAAGGGAAGCGTCAACCTGCGAGCTGACCTGGGCTTTGCTGGTGCCGCACACTCCCACGTGGGAGACGAGAGTGGGTGCTGGGATGCGGCTCTGTAGCCGGGGTATGATGAGGCTGTCCTTCTCCTCGCCCCCCTCAGGCCTGGCTGACACATGGGGGTTGGGGGGAGGAGCTCACAGCCCCCATGGTCACAGACGTGCGGTTCCATCTGTGTAGGTGGCTGGTTCCTGTGGTTTTTTTTTTCCCCATAATTTTATTGAAAAACAAATAGTAATGAGACAGTTTCAAATCAAATTGGTAGGACAGTTTCAATAATTCACACATTGCATACATTCTTCCTAGTGGTTAGTTGCTGTACAAGATGCGGACTTAATATCCTATTTACAAACACCAGTAGAACAAATCGCTCCATTCATTATGAGAATGTAACTA